CATAGCAGAACAGTTTTCAAATGTGGGTGTCTTCAGTTCACACAGCCCTTAAGTGTCCTTCCTCCCTCAGGTAAGTGAGCCTCCACCTCCTCCTTCAGGTTGGGGTCCGAGGGCAAGTTTCCTGACTGCTCCCTGACACCAAGCACTATATTCTGCTTCTGGGGTGGAGGTGAGCATTGGGACTCAGTCTACAGTGAAATAAACATCACAGTTACATTCACAAATGAATGTACACTAAATCCCACAAATATTAGTTATGGAATAGTAGCCCCAAATAATCCCATACTGTCCTGGGACTACCAGCAGGCCTAGCAACCTCATGGTTCACTATGGCATCCTGGATTCCTGCATGGTCAGGACCTGAGGGTCTGGCCCCACATGACCTGAGGACGTTCACTTTGCCACAGCTGCTCCCAAGCCTTCACTTTGCCTCCTGATGCATTGGGTCTTGGGCCCATGACTTTCTGGAGAGAGCTCCTCTGGGGGTTTTGTAGCCCTCAAAAGCAGCAGGGGCACCCCTTAGACCACCTGCCTCAGGCTAGGCTCTGGCCACCTGGATCTGTGGAGGAGGCCAGGCAGAGGATGGCTATGGGAAGATGGGATTCTGCTGGCCTTCTAGCAGGTACTTATTTGTGCCCTGTACTTGCCATCCATTATTTCTGCCAATTCTAAGGATGATTATAGCTCTTGATGGAGGAGCACAGAGAGGCGAAAGTCTTAACAGCAGGAAACTGCAAAGCCAAGATTTAAACAGTCCCTTCACCCCATATCGTGGAGCCAGGAGCTCTAAAGACAGGGAGTAGGTAGAATGTACGCTATCCCCCGGCCAGGCCGGGCTAGGTTTGCATTCCATGCAGGAGGGGCTGGAAAGGGCCAGCCCTGAAGCACACTTGGAGCCTGGTCATCCTGAAAGTTGGCAGTCCTGGGTTGATAATACTCTCTCCCCAGGCCCCCAGAGAGGGTGGTGGTAGAGGGACCAAGGAAAGTGGCTTGAAGCAGGAACTGGCACCAACACTTGGTCTCTCTCCCCTGTCTCCAGTGATCCCAGAAGCTCCATCACCCCATCCACCCGCACACAGACACTGAAGACTGGGCATGGTCAGGAGAGTGACATGCCAGAAACTCCACCATTAAAGAATTGCTCTTTGGAGCATGTATGGGCCTCTGTGCACCCACACTAAGCCTGCCAAATAGCCCTCTGAGTCACCAGGATCTCAGGGCATCTTGCACAGGCAACTGGGAACTGGGTTTTGAGGATGGTAGTTTTGGCACCTGGCCAGGGCTGGCCCACAGACAGCCCTGGGAGTTGAGGGAGAGGGAGTAAAGGCAGAGGGAGCAGAATCCAGCAACTCTGTGGCTTGGGACAAAGCCGCTTTTCCTCCTGAGCTCCAGCCCCTCCCCACACGTCAGGTCCTACCACACAGGCTTACCCGCAGCAGGAACCAGCAGAGCACCTCCCGGCCTGTGAGAGCCAGGAGGGGCCCACAGACAGGGGAGGATACTGGGTTTCTCTTTGAGCAGGGTGGGGCCCAGCCGTCATTTCTGGCAGAATCTGATTGCATGTGCCAGCTCTGAGTCAGCAGTGCCCATCCTGCCCAAGAACCCTGGGCTAGAGAGGAGGCTGCAGCTCCTGTGTCTGTGCCAGAGGCCAGAGGTGGGCTTCTGTGAGGTGGGTTTGGAGCATGCAAAGGAACAGCCTGGCTGCAGCCCCCGCATGGAACAGGGTCAGAGGGAGACAAGACTCTCCCAGGTAAATGCCCTGGCTTAGGGCCTGGGGCTGAGTTGGGAGATGACGTGAATACATAGGAATGATGCCTGAGATAGAGCCGTGCCCACTCCTGGTGTCAGAGTTTCATTGTGACACGGCCTAGGAAGAGGAGAGGAACTTGAGAAGACCTGACTTGCTGAGTACAGGGCATGCAGGCCCAGGAGTGTCAGAGGTGCAGGTGGTAGGCTTCAAGGCCTGAGAAGGCTCCCAGAGGACAGAGAAGGGGACCATTCTCCCTTCCCCCTGCCCTGGCCCTCTGTATAGACATCCAAAGTAGGGCCTGCCAGTATGGATTTGTTCATCTCTCAACAAACATGGAGTATGGCCCTGGATGGAAGGGAAAGCAAGGAGGGACCTGACAGCTTGCCCAGGGCATGCTGTTCGTACTGCAGGACAGGATAGGAGCTGAGTGCTGGGAAGGGGTGAGGCCCCGTTCGTGGAGGAGGGCATGCAGAGTGAGGGGACATATAGAGTGGGGGGACATATAGAGTGGGGGAGCATGCAGAGTGGGGGAGCATGCAGAGTGGGGGGGCATGCAGAGTAGGGGGCATGCAGAGTAGGGGGCATGCAGAGTGGGGGTCATGCAGAGTGGGGGGGTCCAGACTGGGGGGCGTGCCGAGTGGGGCGGCGTGCCGAGTAGGGGGGCATGCAGAGTAGGGGGGCATGCAGAGTTGGGGGGCATGCAGAGTAGGGGGGCATGCTGAGTGGGGGGCATGCAGAGTGGGGGCATGCTGAGTTGGGCATGCTGAGTTGGGGGGCATGCTGAGTTGGGGGGCATGCTGAGTAGTGGGGGCATGCAGAGTGGGGGGCATGCAGACTAGGAGGCATGCCGAGTAGGGTCTCTCAAAAGCTGGGAGGTCCTGACCCACTCTTGGCACTCAGAACTAGAAGAATGCCCTCCAGCTGTTTCACTTCCCTTATTCAAGGCCACCCAGGCCCACGAGGGCCCAGCCTCCTCCCGGCAAAGCTGGTCCAGCTAGCTTTGCCACACTTTCACATTGGCCTTATCAGCCCAGGAGGCCTGGGTGGCTTTACTGGGGGGCCCTTTGGGGGCTCTCTGACCCCATGAGCCCAGTTTTCCCAAAGGACTCTCCAAGGGGGTGGTGAGCAACAGGATCCAGGAACCCTCCCAGGGGCTGGGGTGGAGAGGTGTCTGGGCAACTTACAAAGAGGGTTTTCTGGGTCCCAAGAATTGGGGGGGTGGGTCTGCATAGGGACCTTGCCCGGATGGCCCTTTGGGAGGTTACCTGAAGGTACACTGGGGATCCTCCCCCTCGGCTTCATGGATTGCTGGGTTTTGGGATATGAGGGGCTCCGAAGTGAACTTTGTACCTGTTTGCTTCCCCCTTCTTTCCCCCCCACAACACTCCACCAAAGGCTACTCTTAGGGTTAGAAACCTCCCAGAGGGAGGGAAGGGGACCCTCCTGCCGACAAGGTCCAGGTGTTGCTCTCTGAAGACCTCCTAGTCGTGTCCGTGCACCCATTTCGCAGAAGGGAAAGCAAATACAGGAGCAGTGGCTGGAAGCCTGGACGCCGCGTCTCCCCAGCGCAGCAGCCCGCTTGGGCGTCGGACCTTACACGATCCCTTCCCCGGGATGACGCCAGATTCTTTCCAGCATCACCCTGACCCCAGCGAGGCGCCCACAAGCAGGGCGTGGGGCCGGACTGCCCGCGGTAATGACAGGGCCCGCGGCCTGTGGGTGGTGGCGGGGGAGGAAGCTGGGCTGGAGGGATCTGGCTATTTCTGGTCGGGGTGCGCCTGCTCGCCCTGCCGGGGTTGGCCGGTCCGCACGGCCCCCAGCTCTGCCTTCCCTTCAGCGTCCCCTGGAGGGGCGGGGAGAGGCGCGGGTTGGCGGGCCCAGGGGGCGGGGGCGCAGGCTGGCGGGGGCGGGGCGGAGTCCGGGCCCACCCTCGGCCTTCTCCCACCCGATCCACTCGGATCCCCTCACCGCACTCTGCTCGGACCCGGCACCGTCGCCGCTCACGTGAGTCCCGCGGTGCCCCTCCCGCTGCGCCGCCCGTGGGGCATGGACTCGGGCGGGAACTTCCTGACCCTGCACGGTGAGTGCCCGGCCCGCGCCAGCGGGAGACCCTGCCGGGGCGAATGCCTGGAAAGCCGTGCCGGGCCCTGGACCCGGAGCCCCCAGCTCCTTCGGCCGCCTCCACCCCGCCCCGGGCCAGCCTCTCGGCCCCCTCGCCGGGACTCGGAAAATCTCAGCCCACGGCTCCCTGGGTGGGACTGTCGGCACGACCCTGGGCGTTCCCAGGCTTGTCCCAGATCTGGTCCGGGGTCGTGTTGGGGGTGGGAGGGGCGGCACGGGTCTGAAGACTTCCCTTCGCCTCGCGGGCTACCTTGTCCTGGTCGTGAACATCTGGGTTCCACGGTCCCGCTTGGACAGAGGGGCAGAGGAGGAAGGAAACAGCATCCAAGAACGACCAAATTCTCCTTGCCTCGTCCGGGTTGCCCCCGAGGCTCCCCAAAGCCCTGGCGTGCCTGGACCGCGTCCGGATGTGGCGGAGTGGGGGGTGAGAGGGTGGGGCGAGGAGGTGTCCAAGGTTAACCGTGGTCTGGTCGGGCTGTGCAGCCTTAACTGCCCAGCGCAGAAATAGCGATGCTCAGGCTGGGAGAAGCAGCCTGATCCCCTCATCTGCGACTCTCCTGGGGGCGTAGGGCCAGGTCTCAGCCGGAGCTGCTTGCTCCAGCCTTTGTCCGGTGGGGCTTTGTTTCCTCCGTTATGAGCCAGCTCTTTGCCCTTTCGCCGTTTCTCCAGCAGCGAGGGGGGAGCCTGGGCTCCCGAATGCAGGTCTGGAGGCCTTCTGGGAGAGGGGAGTTTGGGACAGGTAACTTTGGGCGCCTGTTTGCTCCAGGCCAGGGACGCACCCACTCTTGGCGGGGGCTTGCCCTCCTGCCCCTCCGGATCACTTGCCAGCTCCGCAAACCCTGCTCCTTTCATGCCAGTCGCTGCTTTACTGCATCCCCCTCTCTTTCCTAGTACCTTGGGGTTGGAGACTTTAGTGGCCACCACCTATCCATCTAAACTGTTCATGGACATAATAGATGGGAAAGAGAAGAGCAGAGCCCTCCAGCCTATCTCTTGTTTCCCAGTTGGCCCAGACCTGGTCCTCCTGGCTCAGAGAGACCTTGCTCTGTTCCCAGAGCTGTTGCCTTCATTCCAGTAGCCTAGACTCCTTAAAACCACCTTGTCTAGATGAGTCATGGAGTCCCTAGCCCTTCCAGTACTCCTTTGTCTTTCTTCAGGGCAGAGGTGTCTTCAGTGTGCCTGCCAGGCTAGCAAGATGGGAGGCTGGGCAGCTCAGAGAACACAGTGGAGACCTCTGCTTTCCCTCTGGTGCAGTGTCGTTCCTCAGCTCCTGTTGGAACAGGCTTCATCCTCAGTGTCTGTGCCTTTGTCAGTTTCTCTCCTGAGGTAGCCCTGATATCTTTTCCATGGAGGAAGACACACAGAGGCTCAGTCAGGACCTCTCAGTCCTGTGGCATGGGGTTGGCTGCCCTGGCCCACCCCATTTGAGACCAGCTTCCCAAATACCTCAGTCCAGCCTTTCCTTAAGGGTTGACGTAAACACTGTGACCCCAAGCTAGTTTCCCTGAGGGCCCTGCCACTTCTAGCTGATCACCCAAAATTACCTACCTTAACTGCCTTCTGACCACACTGCAAACCAGATGGGGAAATAAGAACGTGTCAAGGAGAATCATTGGTGGGAGGGGGTGGTCGCTGTGCTCGGTGCTGTTCCAAGTTGTCTACACTTGCATCAGAGGGTCTGTATCCATTCCACAGTGTGGATGCCCCAGCACTGTGCGTGCTGCAGGCCCACTCTCTCTGGCTTGGGGCTCCATACTCTCTGGAAGGAGCCCAGAGAGGCCTGGGGAGATATAGGGCTCACCTAGATATGAGATGCCCCTCTGTCCTCACCCCAGATGCATGCAGAGGTCGAGTTTACTGGCATCAATTCTGAAAGCAAAGTACCTGAATTCAAGTCTTGGCTTTCTCATCTCAGACGAATTCCTTGACTTCTCTGTCAGTGTCCTCCCCTGTAAAGTGGGGGTAATACCATCTACCTCATAGGGTTGCTATGAAGATTACATGGCATTTAGGACAGTGCCTGGTACCCAGTGAGCGCTGTGTGCCTGCAGGATGCCCCCTCGCCAAGTTTCTATGCCCTACGAGCCGCTGTCTAGTTCTTTGGGAGATGATGGGGCATCGTAAGATAGTTACTAGACAGGGAAAATAGGGCCAGAACTAGATTCAGGAGCCGCCCAACTCCTAGGCCCTCTGAAGCCCTTACACTGATGCTACAACCTCCATCCTCCTTCCCTCACTTTACTTCCTCCACTCTTTTTATTCTGGTTGTGCCTGGACTGGCTTCTCCAGCAGGTCCCCTGATGTGCCCAGAAGGACATCACCTTCCAGGGCTCTCCCCTCACTGAACACCGCCCCCTACACACACACGTACACACACACACACACACACACACACACAAACTTTTCCTATACCCAATCCCTTTTGCCCCCTGGAAGACTTGCTATTTGTAAAAAATAGAAAATAGAGGGGCCTCATCTTGGCCCCAGGAGATCTGGGCTCCAGTCCTAGCTTTGCTTCTATTTACTATGGGCCTGAGAATCATCCATGGGATAGCAATACATGTTTCACAGAGGGTGTGGGGAACATAAACACCAATGGGCATAGGAATTCTAGTTTATGGCAAAAACCAGTCCTCCAAGAGCTGATTCCAGAGTATCTTAGTAAGTTGGGGTGGCCAGCTCCTCACTCACCTATGTTCAAAACCTGTCTGTCCCTGGGTTTCCAGACCCATGCTACACAGGCACACACGGATCTATGTCAGTCTTAACTTTTTGTGTCATAGACCACTTTGGCAGTCAGGTGAAGCCTGTAGACCCCTTCTATGATCATGATTTTTTTATTTTTGACACAGAGTCTCCCAGGCTGGAGTATAGTTCATGCCATCTCTGCTCACCGAAACCTCTACCTCCTTGGTTCAATCGATTGTCCTGCCTCAGCCTCCCAAGTAGCTGGGATTACAGGCACTGCCCACCACACCCAGCTAATTTTTGTATTTTTAGCAGAGACAGGATTTCTCCATGTTGGCCAGGCTGGTCTCAAATTCCTGACCTTAAATGATCTGCCCGCCTTGACCTCCCAGAATGCTGGGATTATAGGCATGAGCCCCTGCGCCCAGCCAGGAGCATGTTTTTAAATGCAGAAAATGAAGTACCTAAGAATTCAAAGGAAGCCAGTTATTTTGAGATGTGATTCTATCCACAGGTTCCTGAGGGGTCTTTGGTCCAGTTAAGAACTCCTGGGCAGTTTCTCCATAACACAGGCTTCCCTTGCACTCTGCTTCCCTCTCCAAAGAATAGCTTTTCTGTGTTCATATTTCAACGAATCTGCCTTGCCCATCTACTAACTAACCTTGCTCATGATTTATTCTCTCTGGTATGACCTTAGGCAGGTTACTCTGCGCTTCAGTTTATTGTTATTACTGCTGTGCTTGTCTGAGCCAATAACTGGCTTTGCCAGTGACGCACCCTCAATGCTGGTGACTGGAGCGGCAGTGAAGCGAACTGGGGGGAACTATTCAGAGGCCGGGAGTAAAAGAGTGAGTCAGGCCTCTGGGTGGTGTCCTGAACTTGGCACACAGTAGGGGCTCAATAAATAATTGCTGGGTGAATGAAAGGGAGGTTGTCATGTACATGAAAGGATCCACTGTTCCGAGCATATTGGCAGCGAAGTTTTGTGCAAAGTTACAGTCGTTCTCATGTATTCGTGAAAGCCAGCCTGGGTTAATGGGCTCATCTTAAGTTTAGCCTTTTTTCAAGAATTCCGTTTGCATTCGGCACCTTGGGGTCAAACCGAGACAAGGAAACAGGCCCTCCTGAGGCTCACAAATGAGGCAACCGCAAGCTGAGTCGCAATGAATTAGTTGAGCAATCGAAGTAAAATACTTGGGGGGCTGGGTGTCTGGCCCGGGATCGTCCCCGTTCCCTCCTGGCCTCGCCCCACTCAGATCCCCGCTAGACTGCCGCCCACTGGGACTCCCCTCAGTTCTGTCTCCCCAGACTCGGCCCTTCGGTCCTGCGCCAGCCTGCGAGGTGGCATTAGAATTCGCCCTTACTGCCTGTCGGGCCCTGGCCCTGCCCCCGCGCCACCTCCAAAGTCGAGGGCCCGCCCCTCCCTGCCTGGACACGCCCTTTCAGTGCGGGATCCTCCCAGGCTTGCCTCTTGGGCCCTGGCCCCGCCCCTGGGCTGCTTCCTGGGTGTGGCTTTGCCTCCACGTAGCCTCTGGAGCAGAGGCTCCCGGTCTGAGCTCCGCCTCTGGGCCTGGCTCCGCCTCTGGGCCTGGCCCCTCCCTCGCCCCGCCTTGGCCCTGGCCCCGCCCCTAGTCCGCTTTGTGGTCCCTGGCCTTCGACACAGATTTGCTTCCTGGGTTATGGATTTTTCCCCACTCCGCCTCTACAGGGCCCGGCATCTCCTCGGCCCAGCCTCCTGGGTTCTGGATCCATCCCCTATCCACACCCACACCTTGACGCAGCTCTCGCCCCACCTCTAGGGGGCACTGTTCCCACCCCTCTTGGATGGCCCAGCCTTTTACGGTCTGACTACACCTTCCTTAGTCCAGATTTTCTTCTTGTTCCGCCTCCTGTGTTCTGATTCCCCCCATGCCCCTCACTTCTCGGTTCAGGGGGCATAGGTCCTGCCCCTTGAGGACTAGCTCCCCCTCCTAGGGTCTGACTCCACCCCTCTACAGATTTCCCTCGTCCCTCCCCTCCAGAGTGGCCCCTCCTCTCGAACTCTAGCTCCTCCCTCTCATTCCTGGACTCCGCCCCTGCTCCCCTCCAGGGCCACAGTTCCACCCCCTGGACCGGAGCAGTTGGTGCTGTGAGCATAAAACACTGGAAGCGGCGCTGTCCCGGACCCGGCTCCGCGCAGGCAGGGGCAGGGGCAGAGGAGCACCATGCAGTGCCTGGGGATCCGGAGCCGGAGCCGCTCCAGGGAGCTCTACCTGCAGGAGCAGAGCCTTAAGGTGGCGGCGCTCAATGGACAGAGGCTGGGTAAGGGGCGCAGGGCACTCCGAGATCGGGGAATGGGAAGGCAGCTGGGGCAGGACGCCCACCACTTGTCCCTTCGCTCGGGGCCATTTGCCTTGGAGCCTTTAATTGGACGTGTTTAGTACTTCTGTGAGTGCGTGACCCACTGTGGGGCAGTGTTTGCAGGGGTGAGTACTAGGGTGATTAGTTACCCCTTTTCATGATTTAATTCAGCTCCTCCAAAGCTCTCCATCCCTTGTCACCCGACGCTCTCCTGTTTACAAATATCTGAGGCCCCGGGTGTGTGGCCTGGTGTGTTACAGGTATGACTGTGTAACCACTGAGGCGATCTGCAAGAGTTTGTGCTCCAGTGTGATCCTGTGCAAAAGTGTGCCTGTATGTGATGGGTGTGATAGTGGTGGTCTAGTATGGGACCCCGTGCCGGCTGAGTAGTTCTGTCACGCCTGTTGTCTGTTGTGGGGCCGCTGTGCAGCGTGTAATGATGATAGTGTGTAGTGTGAAACCAAGTGCGTGACGTTGTGGCACTGAGGGTGGCTGCTTGTAACCCGGTGTGACAGCATATAATCTGTTGTGATAGTTCAACTGAGTGTGACTGTATGACCGATGTGACAGTGGGTGGCCCAGGGTGACGGAGTGGTTCTGTCATTCCATCAAGGTGTGTGTGTTATATGGATTTTCTGATGTTTTTACTCTGTGGCAGTATGTGCCTGCATGGTGGCTGCGTGAAGTTTCATAGCGCTGACCCTGTGGGTAGGCTACCTGCTTCTGAGTCCTGACTCCACCATGCAGCTTCCTTGAGCCTCAGTTTCCGCTTTTGTAAAATGGGAATAATGACAGTGCCTTCCTTGGTTATTGAGAGAATTAAGTACATGTGCTAAGAACAGTATCTTATTTAAATATTGACTACTATTACGGAAGCCTCTATCATCATCATCATCATGTGCTGGCACTATATATTGTGTGCCTAGTCATGACTAAGTGTGACACTGTGCAACTCCCTGCGACAGTGTGTAATTTTGACAGTAACCCTTACTCTTCTTAGCCCAGTGCTGATGGGGGAACAAAAGCAGAGAGAGGTAGTGTGTCACTGTGCGTGGCTCATTGTCTCTCTGAGGTTGTGTGTGTGGTGGTCTAGGCTGTGACTGTGTAGTTGTGTGGCCATATCTGTGTAGCTGTGTACCGCTGTGGGTCCCAGGCGCAGTGTGTCTTCATTATGCATCCTGGCACCTCCCTCAGCTTCCCACTAGCACCTGCAGCACCCTATGTGCCCCAGCACACCACCATCTCACTGTGCACAACTAGCCTGGGCAGGCTGCAAGGTCAACCCAGGCTGAGCTCAAAGGCCCCTCACCACCACCGTCCCACAGGAGGAGAAGCTATTAGGTTGGTGCAAAAGTTATCTCAGTTTTTGCTATTGAAAGTAATAGCAAAAAACGCAATTACTTTTGCACCTACCTAATACTGTGACTGGATTGAGTGGAGCTGGGTGAGGAGGTTCCACAGACTTTCTGGGTGCTAAGGGAACAAGGGTGATGGAGCAGACAGTCTACAAGCTTCAGAAACAGAAGGGCCCCAACTGAGGCTAAAAGATGAGGGCACCTGCCCAGGTTTCCTGGTGATCCAGAAGGCTGTGGCTGTCACCTTTCTGGAATTATCGCCCTGGAACTGATGTCCACCTTCTAGAAGGCATTGCTGGCAGCTGGGGGTTTATCTCTGCCTGACTGTAGACAGGGAAACAGCCTGGCTCCAGGACAGGATGAGCATGTCATCTCTTCATGGTGTTTTCCAGAACAGGAGGGTGGGGCTCAACTTCTACTTCCTGGCTCCCGACTCCATCCCCATCCATGCTGTTGGCAGTGGCTTGCCCTGAAGTGTGCCCAGCTTGTGCAGCAGGTGCTGGCAGAGGGTGAGGAGATGTCCCTCCCAGCTTTAGAAGGACATCAGCCTTAGAAGGGATAGTGGAATTCCCCAGTGGAGGCCAGAGGTGGCCCTGTCCTCTGGCAGCCTGGGAATTCCCTGTCCCTCCTCTGGTCCCAGGGCCCTCAGACACAGCCAGTAGTTGGGAATATTCTGTTGGAGCCCCCTTCTTTTCCGCTGGGACTCCCCTTAGGCTAAGAAGGAGCTGTTCACACTAAGGCAGAACAGCTCTTCAAATGGGTGGACAGATCTGGGATGAAGGACAGATCTGGGGAAAGGCCACATCAGACTGTCACCCCCGAGGAGGTCCGGGGATGCCTCCCCCTTGCTGTTCTTAGCCCAGTGCTGATGGGGGAACAAAAGCAGAGAGAGGAAAGGGAGTTACCTAAAGCCATAGGGTATGGATGTTAGCACTGGCCTCTGCCCTGCCCGGAAGCAGAAGACTGGGGAAGGTTAGAGAGTGTGTGAGTGAGTGAAGCCTGAGGAAGTGTCCAGAGGGTTCTGCAGGCCCTGAAGATATGGGGGCAGGCTCGCTGGGGGAGGGGTATGGATGAAATGGGAGAGGCCATCTGCTGACAGGGATATGGGCTCAGAACAGAAAAGGCCTATGGCTCTGTGAGGGCTTCCCCGCATAGACGTGGGCCCATGCCCCTCAGACTAGACCCTGGAAGCCCCTGAGGCTGCCGCTCTGCTGCAGCAGCAGGACAGAGATTGCTGATGGCCCACGCCATTCTGGGGAGAGAAGTGAAGTGGCTGATTGGCTCTCAATAGAGCTGGCTGCTGGTCTATATCCGTGGCTAGGATGATATACCCATTATAGATCCATCACTATATACATATGCCCTTATAGATGTTTCTATAAATGCACCCATGGGTTACTAAGGGTGAGGGCACCTTTATCAACTCTTATCAGTTGGCAGGACCTGCTGGATGGTGAAGGCTCTGGCGTCCTTTTGGTGCCTCCTGTCTGAGGGCATCACATCTTTGGGAGCCCACACCTCTGAGAGCAGCAAGAGTTGGGCAGGACTGGGGCAAGCAACCAGGGTCCTCTCTGGGCTCTGGGCCAGGCCCTGCTCAGCTTCTGAAAGGGGTGTGCTGTGCCTTAAAGCTGCTGTATCCTGAGGGGCCCCAGACCCTGGGAACTCTGGGGCTGGGGCAGCCAGGGACAGGGCCATCCCAGCAGGCCAAACACAGGCTGCAGTGGACTCACCTGTCTCTTCTTGGAGCAAGGATCAGAGATCCACTCATGTGGGCTCAAGTCAGAGGTGGGGTGACAGCAAGGGTGAGGGTGGCAGAGATGGGCACAAGGGTCCCACAGCAGCCACAGTGTTGACACCAAGAACCCCAACTGCAATGAACTCAGGGCCTGCACAGATCCAGGCACCATCTCATTGAACCCAGAACTTCCCTCTGAGATGGCCGCTGTGACAATCTCCATTTCATACACAGGAAAGCGGAGGCCCAGCAGCATGAAGTCCTCACCCAGGTGACACAGCTGGTCAGGAAGGCATGGGGACCTGGGCACAAATGATTCTGGAGCTGTTGGAGTTGGGACGTTGTTTGGCTCCATGACACTCTGGGATCCGTTTCCATCTGTGTCTATCCCCCTTTTGTCTTCTTGCTTTGCCTAGTCTTTTGATCCCAGCTTCCCTCACTTCACTCAGACCCCTAAGTGTGACCAGGAGGGCTCACCTAATCTTTCAAAACCATCTTTCAGAACATTTCTTAGGGGCCTGGTCCTCTAGGAACCAGGGGTTCTTGAATTAGCTCCCTGCCTTTTGTTCATTCAGCTGTGGGTGGCAGTAAGCATGGCCTTACTGCCATGGGTGGGCAGGCAGCCTGTTTGCATGGTCACCTTAGCTGGCAATCAGGGATGACTTCCTGGAGGAGAGTGGGCTCTGGGAGCAGGTTGGAGCTTGGGTGGAGGAGGAACGAGTAAACAGAGCTGAGGATGAGGCTGGTGAAAAGTGGGCTCTGAGAGGGTCCAGAGGTGGGCACCGCCAGTGTGAGGTCTAGGGCAAGGGAAACTAGTGGAGAAGGTGGCATCTTACCGGCGTTGATCCCCAGGCCTGCAGGATGACAAGGATCTGCAGGCCCTGCTGAAGGGCAGCCAGCTGCTGAAGGTGAAGTCCAGCTCATGGCGGAGAGAGCGCTTCTACAAGTTGCAGGAGGACTGCAAAACCATCTGGCAGGAGTCCCGCAAGGTTATGCGGACCCCAGAGTCCCAGCTGTGTGAGTACCCTGGCGTCACAGGGGAGGGGGCAGAGTGCGGAATCTGGCCAGGGCCAGGCAAGTCTGGAGGTCAGTCACAGATCAAAACCACAGATGGGGAAACTGAGGCTGGCCTGGTGGGGCATAGCTCATTTATACAACCAGGGCGAGCAATGGGGAAACTGAGGCTGGCTGTGGTCGGGGAGCAGAGCCAGTTAAATTACCTGTCGGGAAATTGAAGCCTAGTCTGGGTTGGAGAGGGCAGTCATGGAACGAGGATCACAGCTTTTGAGGGATGGGGACACTTAACCATGACCACAGATAGGACAGCCAGGCTCAGAAGCAGGGAGGGAGCTGGACGGCGTTGCCTGTACTCACAGGCCTCCACCCATGCATTTGTGAGAAGGAGAGAAATTGGGCGGATTAGGACTCCAGGTGTGGTGAAAGCAAAAGCCAGGCCCAAGGTCCAGGCAGATAAGGTACTTCTGGGTTTGAGTGGCCAAGGTGGGAGGTGGGGCTGCAGGAGGCAGCTCCTCCCCGGGACTGGAGCCACAGGACAGGTGTTAGGGCAGAGCAGGACTGGGACACACAGAGGCCACTGTTGGGGAGCCCTTGTGCATCTGAGCGCTTTCTGGAAGCTTCTAAAAAGGCTGAGGAACCCAAGTTCTCAGACCACAATTGGAGAGAGCCTCCTGCAAGGCCTCAGGGAGAAGGTTCTGCTCACTTCTGCCCTTTAAGGGAGAGAATTCCCTAAAGATCCTGTAAAATGAGATGTCTCCCTCTGCACCTTTACTTGGTGGGGACATTTTAGACCGATGCTGTGCGGATGAACAGGGATGGAGATGCTGTGTATGTGGACTGTCCAGCGGGGAGCCACCAGCCACTTGTGACTATTGAGACCTTGAAATGTGGCTAGTGTGACTGCTGAACTGAACTCTTTTTTTTTTTTTTTTTTTAAGGAGGAAGGGAAGCAGGCAGGCAGGCAGGCAGGCAGGCTGAATTGAATTCTTAATCTTATTTAATTGTAACTAATTTATATTTAAATGGCCCCAGGTGGTTAGTGGTTACCCAATTGGACAGCGCATGTAGATCACTGCCACTTGGGTTTCACACAGTCGGGACTCCTGGAGACCCCTTGTCCATTGGCCCGCCCTTGGCTGGGGTGTGGGTGGGGAGACGGGGGCAGGTCTATGGGGAGCGAGACTGGACATGGGTGATGAGGGAAGGTAGGAGGAGGGCGGATCCACCTACCAAGGGTGCCCCAGGAGGGTGCCTTTCACCTGGGAAGGGTCTGCCAGGCCTCAGGCCACTGGACAGGACCCTGAGAAGGTATGGTCTACCAGCCTGTGGCCTGTGCAGGGGCGGAAGGAAAGTCAGGACGAGAGCAGGGTCAGGTGCAGAGAGCCGGCTGGGTCCTTGGGGCTGTGAGCTATGGAAGGTTTCTGAGCAGGGCAGGGTCTGAGGGGTCGGGGCTCTAGAACATTCTGAGAACAGCACATGGAACCCCAGCTCCACTGGCTGCCACACAGTACAGGAGTGACCGCCTGACTTTTCTCTGTCTGTGGCGCCAAACGGGCTCCTTCATGGGCCTCCTGCCCTGATATGGGGTTTCCTGTTAGATGCTGGTGGGCGGGGCACAGTGAGAACGTGGATCTTACACTCTGAGCCCTGGGGGTGCCTGGGAGCCCACCTACGTACCCATACGTATGCATGGCTCCCAGTGCGCGCCTAGCTCTTAGGAAGCGTGAGGGGGAGATAGAGGAGTGGGAGACCCAGGCCTTTCCTGCAGGAATGTTTCGGCTGGCAAGAGGAGGCCCTTGTGCTGGACGGCTGTGAGCAGATGGGCAGTGTGAGCCAAGGTGCAGGGTGAGGAGGCGGCTGAGGGGCTGCAGGACCAGGTGTGGGGTGAGGAGGAGGCTGAGGGGCTGCAGGGGCAGGTGCGGGGTGAGGAGGCGGCTGAGGGGCTGCAGGGGCCAGGTGTGCACAGGTGCAGAGCAAGGCCTTAAGGGCCTTTCTGCCCGTCAGATGCCTGAGATGCTGAGCCGGGGCCGGGGCCTCGTGCTGAGCCTGCCTTGTTGGCTGCCTCCCTTCTCTGGGTGAGCAGTGAGACCAGTGTCTTCAATTGCTCTTTACCCTCCGGGAAACAGAGGCCAGGTGAGGGAGGCCTGGAATAGCCTCCCCTTCTGCCCTTTTTTTTTTTTTTGGCTCTGCTGCCTGCCTTTTAAGGGTCCCCCAATCCTGCCACTGCTACCCACCCCCATAACTCTGGTTCCCAGAGGCCAAAGTGTTATCAGCAGTGAAGGCATCTGGACTTTCTCTCTGGTGCGGGTGAGAGCGCTGGCATGGGGGGTTCCATGGCTCAGGCTTCCTGTTTTTATTTCTGACCCGGGCAGCTGCAGCTGTACCCTGTGTGGGGCCATGTGGGTCACCAGGGGCTGCAAGCAGGGGGATTAAGCAGTGCTGTTCTCTGTCCTCCAGATGGCCCTGGCTCATGTGTCCCACTCTGGCCCAGGCTGGCACATGCGACACATGCATGTGGGCCCTGCAGGTGGCTAGGAGGCCCCTGGGCACTCAGGGTGGGTGGGCACAGGGAGGGACAGGTGGATTTGAGCTAGAACTGTCCAGGAGCCAGAACAGATGGATGAGGATGGGCAGGAGGGGGTATGGCAGGGGCAGAGCCTGGTCCTGCTGCTGGATGCCACAGCATGAGCCCGGCTGGAGGTACTGGCTCCTGGGCAGGCCACGAAGGGCACATTGGAAGTGATAGGCGGGGCCTGGCATCTTCCTGAAGCTTGAAGGCTGGGTTGTGAGGAGAGGGCCCCCCCCTTGGCTCCTAAGGGCAGAACGATGTACTCTTTCAGAGCCCTGCAGGGCACCCTCCCGTTTGCCTCTTGGGGCTGGGGAAGGCAGAAGCTTCCTGTACCCGCTGCTAAGGGGCTCCCTGAAGTCAGGACACACACAGCTGCACACAGGGCAGGACCCTGTCTCCCTCCCAGGCAGGGCTTCTCCCTCTATCTTTGGCCCTCTGCCCATAGACCCCAGGGCAGGGGCTAACTCAGGGTGGTCACAGTCTCTTGAATGTTTGGAAGGGGGTCCTGGTGGCTCTGTGGCTTTGTGGGGGCAGGACAGACCCAAAGTCCAGTGCAGTCAGAAGGGTGTGTGGCCTTCCCTGTCATGGGCCCCACACTCCAGAGTGATCTCTGCATCTCTCGAGCCCTGCCCTGCCCCAGCCCTCTCCCTGGGGCCCTGTACCCCCCATCACCAAGACAGCAGGCCTGGGGTCCCAGGTGCCCTTTCCACCCTAAAATCTGTCTGTCTCTTACTCTCTGTCTCTCCCTGTGTCTCATGCTCTGCCTCCCCCAGTTTCTGTCTTCCTCTCCCCTATTTGTCCCCCGTTGTCTGACCTCCTGCCCTCTCCCGTCCCTCTGGACTCAAGGCCTGAGCTCTGGCCCTGGCTCTGTGTCTCCCAGCTGTAACCCTTTCCACGGTGGCCTTGGTCATGTCAGGGTCAGGGATTGACCTCACAGCGTTCTCTCTCTCCTCCACCGTTCCACCCTCGCAGTCTCCATCGAGGACATTCAGGAGGTGCGAATGGGGCACCGCACAGAGGGTCTGGAGAAGTTCGCCCGTGACGTGCCCGAGGACCGCTGCTTCTCCATTGTCTTCAAGGACCAGCGCAATACACTAGACCTCATCGCGCCATCACCAGCGGACGCCCAGCACTGGGTGCTGGGGCTGCGCAAGATCATCCACCACTCGGGCTCCATGGACCAGCGGCAGAAGCTGCAGCAGTATCCTTCTGGTGGCAGCGGGTCCAGGCCTGGCTTGTGGTTATCCCAAGGCAACCTGGGTAGGAAGGCGGTTTGGTTACTTTGGGCTGCCGTAACAAAATACCATCAACTGGTGGCTTAAACAACAGAAATCAATTTTCTCACGGTGTGGAGGCTGAAAGTCCAAGGTCAGGGTGCCAGCGTGGTCGGAGCCTGCTGAGGGCTGTCTCCTTTCTGAGCGTCTTCTTGGTGTGTCCTTGCACGGTGGGGGGACACAGAGAGAGAGCAGGTTCTCTGCCGTCTCTTCTTGTAAGGGCTCTAATCCTATCGCGACGGCCTCACCCTCATGAACTCATCTAAACCAAATTATCCAAAGCCTCACCTCCAGATAGCATCACACTGGGAGTCAGAGCTCCAACATAGAAATTTTGGCGGATTGGCGAGGGGTATGCAGTTTGGTGGGGAAGCGGGGACGGTGCACGAAGCCCTCTTTGGTCTAGTCTGACCCTGGTGCCAACAGCTCTGCTGCTCTCTGATACACCCTGTGTCCCCCTCTGTCCCCAGCATGGAGTTGGGAGTCTGGGGAGCCTGACAGAGCAGCCTGCTGCAATGGGAGACCAGTCTTGGGATTTTAATCATTTTTTTATCACCCCCCCCCCCCCCCGCCTTAATCATGTTTTCTGGAGTTACTACACGATTTCCCTCTGGGAGTTGGGAGGCCATGGTGCCTTCCTGTACCATTCTTTGGGGAGTGATCAGGTACCCCGGGTCTGGTGTGTAGGCCAGCCTGTGGGCTTAAAACAAATTAACTTCAACCTTTAGTTACACAGTGGCACCCTGGCATGTGATCCAGCATGGTCAGGCTTCTGGCATGGACAGATTAGGGTGGAGCCAGCTCGCTTCGTTTTTTATGGGAGCTTTATTGAGGTAGAATTCACATACCCTATGATTAACCCATTTAAAGTGTGGAACCTTTAAATTCAGGGCTTTTTAGTATATTCAGAGTCGGGCAGCCATCACTGCAATCAGTTTTCGTGCATTTCCATCACCCCAGAAAGAAACCCTGTACCCCTAGCAGTCCCTCCCCACCTCACCTCGACCCCCAGCCCCAGCCATCTGGCTTGTCTATTTCCTGCCTCTGGACCCTTGCCTGCTCTGGGCATGTCACAGAAACGGAATCACAGTCTTCTGTGACTGGCTTCTTTCATTTAGCATGACGTTTATGTGTTCATTCGTGTCCCAGCCTGTCACTTCTTCATTCCTTCGAATTGTCCAGTAATAGTCTGGGACAGCCCACGTTTTACTTATCGCCTCACCAGGTGGTGGACATTTAGATTGCTTCCGCTTTTGGGCTTCGATGAAGAATGCTGGTATTAACCTTCCTGTGTAAGTTTTGGTGTGTATATGTGTTTTCATTTCTCTTGGAGTAGAACTGCTGGGTCACATGGTAACTATGTTTAACCTTTTGAGAAACTGCCAAACTGTTTTCCCAACAGGCTACACCAATTTACACTCCCACTAGCAGTCAATGAGGGTTTCAGTTTTCTATGTCCTTGACGACATGACATCTGTCCTTTTGATTATAGACACCCTTGTGGGTATGAAGTGGTATCTTATTGTGATTTTGATTTGCACTTCCCTAATGATTAATGATATTGAGCATTTTTTTCATGTACGTGTATGTATCTTCTTTGGAGAAATATCTATTCAGGTCCTTTGCCCATTTTTTTGGATCATTTGTCTTTTTATTATTGAGTTGTAAGAGCTCTTTATATATTCTAGATACAAGTCTTTTATGAGATTTATGCTTGCAAATAATTTGTCCGTTCTGTGCGGCGTCTCCTCCTTGATGGGTCTTTTTTTAGGCTAGAAAAGCGAAACAGTGAGAGTGAAGAAGCAACAAAGAAATCTGGAGCCAATTGTGAACGATTAGTTGTAAACATCCTGCACTCAGACCAGCCTCTTGATATTCTTTGAAGCACAAAATTTTTTTATTTTGATGAAGCATAATTCATATACTTCTTTAATGTTGTGTTTTGGCATCATAGCCAGGAAGGCGTTGCCTAATCCGCAGGGCTGGGGTTCCAGCAGGGAGCCCCTGCGCTTGGCCTGAATTCTTAGTTTTACTCTGGGGTCTGTATGTCTGTTCACCACTACCACATGTTTCGGTTTCTGTAACTTTGTAGTAATTTTGAAATCAGGAAGTGTGAGTTCTCGAAATTTGTTTTTTTGTTTTTTGTTTTTTCCAATATTGCTTTAGCTATTCTGGGTCCCTTGAATTTCTATATGAATTTTAGGATTAGCTTGTCAATTTCTGCAAAGAAGCCAGCAGAGTTTTGGTAGGGACTGTACTGGATGTGGAGATCAATTTGGAGCGTCTTTCCAGTTTCATGACGGCACGTTTCTGACCCGTGAGCACGCAGTGTCTTTCCATTCATCTTCGTTCTTTTTCAACAGTGCCTTATGGTTTTCCAGGTTTCATACTTAAACAATTTCTTTAAAAGCATTTTATTCACTTTGCTGCTCCTGTAAATGGAATTGTTTTCTTAATTTCACTTTCAAATTTTTCAATTCTGGTGTATATCCACTCCTTAGGGGACCCATTTGGAGCCCTGTGAATTTCCTTTTCTGTGTGTTTTTGAGCATGTGAAAGACTTTTGAGTGTTACTTCTCAATGCCACATCTGCCTTATTGTGAGCTTTTTAAAAAGCTCATTTTTGTCATAGCCACACCTTTGGCAGAGTGTTGACCTTGGACAGTCTCATGCCCTCTGCAGGGTCCCGCTGCCCAGACCTTAAGATAATAGAGCCATTCCACCTGCTGAATAGCCTTTAGCACACGAATCTTGTGCTTGGCTCGACCATTCTGAACTTGATTTTTTTTTCACCTGGCTTTCTGTCATAATTATTCTTTTCCACTTATATATCCATATGTATAAAATTTGGAAAACATATATACATTGCAATGAAGTTATAAAAGTCCACCTCTTCCAGAAGCTTCTGATATTTGCATTTTCCTTCTAATATTTTTTCTGCAATTTATTTGTGTGTTTTTTTGAGACAGGGTCTTGCTCTCTTGCCCAGGCTTGAGTATAGTGGCATGATTACGGCTCACTGCAGCCTCAAACAATCTTCCCTCCTCAGTCTCCTGAGTAGCTGCAACTACAGGTGCATGCTACTATGCCTCGCTAATTTTTTTTTTAATTGCATTTTAGGTTTTGGGGTACATGTGAAGAACATGCAAGATAGTTGCATAGGTACACACGTGGCAGTGTGATTTGCTGCCTTCCTCCCCTTCACCTATATCTGGCATTTCTCCCCATGCTATCTCTCCCCAACTCCCCACCCCCCGCTGTCCCGCCCTTATTCCCCCCAACAGACCCCAGTGTGTAGTGCTCCCCTCCCTGTGTCCATGTGTTCTCATTGTTCAACACCCACCTATGAATGAGAATATGCGGTGTTTCATTTTTTGTTCTTGTGTCACTTTGCGGAGAATGATGGTCTCCAGGTTCATCCATGTCCCTACAAAGGACACGAACTCATCGTTTTGATGGCTGCATAATATTCCATGGTGTATATGTGCCACATTTTCCCAGTCCAGTCTATCATCGATGGGCATTTGGGTTGGTTCCAGGTCTTTGCTATTGTAAACAGTGCTGCAGTGAACATTCATGTGCATGTGTCCTTATAGTAGAACGATTTATAGTCCTTTGGATATATACCCAGTAATGGGATTGCTGGGTCAAATGGAATTTCTATTTCTAAGGCCTTGAGGAATCGCCACACTGTCTTCCACAATGGTTGAACTAATTTACACTCCCACCAACAGTGTAAAAGTGTTCCTTTTTCTCCACATCCTCTCCAGCATCTGTTGTCTCCAGATTTTTTAATGATCGCCATTCTAACTGGCGTGAGATGGTATCTCAATGTGGTTTTGATTTGCATCTCTCTAATGACCAGTGATGATGAGCATTTTTTCATATGTTTGTTGGCCTCATGTATGTCTTCTTTTGTAAAGTGTCTGTTCATATCCTTTGCCCAATTTAGAATGGGCTTGTTTGTTTTGCTCTTGAAAATCTGTTTTAGCTCTTTGTAAATTCTGGATATCAGCCCTTTGTCCAATGGATAAACTGCAAAAATTTTTTTCCCATTCTGTTGGTTGCCGATTCACTCTAATGACTGTTTCTTTTGCTGTGCAGAAGCTGTGGAGTTTGATTAGGTCCCATTTGTCTATTTTGGCTTTTGTTGCCAATGCTTTTGGTGTTTTGGTCATGAAGTCCTTGCCTACTTCTATGTCCTGAATGGTTTTGCCTAGATTTTCTTCTAGGATTTTTATAGTATTAGGTCTTATGTTTAAGTCTTTGATCCATCTGGAGTTAATTCTAGTGTAAGGTGTCAGGAAGGGGTCCAGTTTCTGCTTTCTGCATATAGCTAGCCAGTTTTTTCAACACCATTTATTAAACAGGGAATCCTTTCCCCATTGCTTGTTTTTGTCAGGTTTGTCAAAGATCAGATGGCTATATATGTGTGGTGTTATTTCTGAGGCCTCTTCTGTTCCATTGGTCTATATCTCTGTTTTGGTACCAGTACCATGCTGTTTTGATTACTGTAGCCATGTAGTATAGTTTGAAGTCCATTAGTGTGATGCCTCCTGCTGTGTTCTTTTTGCTTAGAATTGACTTGGCTATGCGGGCTCTCTTTTAGTTCCATAGGAAGTTTAAGGTGGTTTTTTCCAGTTCTGTGAAGAAGGTCATTGGTAGCTTGATGGGGATAGCATTGAATCTATAAATTACTTTGGGCAGTATGGCCATTTTCACAATATTGATTCTTCCTAACCATGAACATGGAATGTTTCTCCATCTGTTTGTGTCCTCTCTTATTTCGTTGAGCGGTGGTTTGTAGTTCTCCTTGAAGAGGTCCTTTACATTCCTTGTTAGTTGTATTCCTAGGTATTTTATTCTTTTTGTAGCAATTGTGAAAGGTAGTTCATTCTTGATTTGGCTCTATTTAAGTCTGTTATTG